TAAAATAATGTCCCATTTTACTTTTCTAACTGTTACATATATATAACAAGAAAAGTATTGGAATTGTGCCGAATTTTACCCTCAGTTTTCTTTTCAAATCACGATCGAAACCCTCCCAAACCCAAAAAAGTAAAAAACTTGAAAAAATTTTGCATGCACATGTTGGTGTCTAATTCACTTAATATCTCAGGATGGGATAATAATGAAAAAATAAAATTTGGCATGGTAGCTTGTGTTTAAGAGAAATTGATGCTATTAAATTTTGATGGTAAAGGTTGAGGGAGTAAGGTGATAAAAGGGTGTTGTGTTATTTCATGAGAGGGTTTGGACTTAAGAAGATTTCACTCAATAGCATTTACAATTTTTTCAAAACTCATAAAAAGTTTTTACAACAAAATCTCAACAGATGACACTATAAATTTTATTTATTTGAAAAGTTATTTTTTAATAGTCAGGAAACTTAGGCAACTCATTGTTGAATGTTTTAAAATTTTGTCATATTATTAGTCAACTAGTTTATGTGACATGATGCACTGCAGGCTATCATATGACTGTTAAGTGAATATAATATCATAAAAATTTTTCTATTATAAAGCTAAAGTTATTGATGACTGAAAAATACTTGAAATCCTATAAAAAAAACTGATAGAACCAGTTTGAAAAGTAAAACTAAGTGAAAGCATCTAAATAAAAGAAACTTAAGAAAACTGGAAGCAGATTTGTCAGTAAGACTCAACATGTGAATAAAGTGCATGTTACACAGATTACAACTACAGGAAATTTTAAATGAAGCAATGTCACACTGATTATAAATTAGGAAAACAAGCATCATCACAAAAAAAAGCCTTCAAACTGTACTTTGTTCCTTCACTAATATTGCTTGAAGATTGTCTAACATTCAGCCAAATTATTGCAGGTACAATGACTTTAAGGCACTAAATACAACTTGAAGCTTTTTGTAAAAAAACAAATTTAGCAAGGTCAAATTTGCTTTTGCTACATATATGTAAATATCATACTCCCAATTTTATTTGACATGTTAAAAATTTATGTAATATAAAATTATGATTATCAGATTATGTTGCAGATTTTCAGTAAATCTGTTTACATTCTTAGAACAACCTTAAAGTTTAGTTGTTTGCTCTCAACAAAAGAAGAGAGTCAGCTACTTATCATATTTTTTTCCTCAGCATACATGGTATGGTTTAACGAATTTATTTTTCCCCCTCAAGTGAATTAATTAAAAAAAGATAATCGTTAGCATATTCTTTGAAAACGTAAAAAGGGAAAAGCTGGGTGCAAAATATAGTTTGGGTGCTAGTCACTGTTTTGGGGACAGGTCTGTGTTTTGGGTGCTAAACAATTTGACAATGAGTGGGTCTACTGCACTAAAACTGATGTAGTTTGTCTTTTTTACACTTTGCCCCTTTCAAAAACCAAGTGGGTGCAGCACCCAAAAATCCTGACTCTAGTTATTACCTTTCAGCATAGTTTTCACATCACTTATGTGAAACAGCTACCAACAAGCAAGACAACTCATGCATGGTTTACACAGTTTCAAGAATCTGGTTGCTTGTGTATGAAGAAATTGACTGGAAACCATCCATATTGGAAGAAAACATGGAGCACATGCAACAGACCTTCCAATGCAGGCCAAAAAAAAAATCTACCTACTTCTATAGTTATGAACTTGGTATTCCACAGAAAACTATATAGAGGATTATAAGAAAGTGGTCACAGTGTAAAAATCATACCAAATGCAGCTTTATTTTTCCATAACACCAGTTGATCAGAACATCCAGCTTGACTTCTGCACTCAATTCCAGGACTTGCTGCAGATGCTTTTGTAAACAGGTTGGTGTCAGTTGTAAAGCCATCTTTCATGTAAACAGTAAAGTGTACTGCTGTAACATTTAAGTTTGGAGAACTGAAAACTCATGTATGCAGAACATATGCATAATTACCCCTAGATTAATGAGTTCTAAATTGTTTAGCATGAAAAGATGTACAAGCCATTCATTTTTGCAGAAATCACTGTCACATTTTATCTGGATGATGACAAAATGGTTGATGCCACAGCTACAAGACCACCCAATTTCATATTCCAATATGATGGAATCCAAGCAGACACACTGAATTGTGTTTGGCAGGAACTAGATTGTTGCATAGACAAATGCTATGTCACTCAAGGTGTGCATATTGAGCATCTGTAGGGATCAAAAAACTTTGAGTTTCTACATGCACTGTTACATGTTCATTGAGATGTCTTCAATGAAACATGTAGTGTTTTTTCAAAATAGAAATAATCTTTTTGGCTTACCCTGTATAATAATTTAACCATCTACTTTTACCAATAACTTATTAATATGAACAATTATAGGTTTATCATAGCATTTCAGAAATAGCTTTTATTTTGCAAATCTTATGTATAAAAAATACTAATTACCATTCCAAAAATTTCCTATGGATATCAATTGTCCTTCATTTGTATAGAAGAATCTAAAGAGAAAAAAAAAACTCTCAATTAAATTTCAAAAAGTTTTGATTGTAATAATATATGATGATGCTAGATCTAATTTCATATAACACTTGTCTCAATCTATTTGGTATATTTCAAGTTTCTAATTTGAAAATTTTTTTGAGAAAATTGAAAAGGAATTATCTAACATTTGATTTAGCAACATCTTTCCAAATATTACTAATATTTTGTTTTATAAAAGTTTTAATTTGTCTTTATACTATACATTAGCTAAATTTTCAAAATATAAAAATTTTATAATAATTAACAAGTTTAGAAATAAAATTTAAAATATAGCTTTCATTAGATTCTGAATGTCAGAATACAACAAACAATAGAATTTGTCACAGAAAATTTGTATTAAATAGTTAAGAAAGTTCAATGATTTCATGTGTCATTGCCAATGGCAGATTTATTAATTAATAGATTACTGATTTATAAAATGATTTGGGAGTATTTAATAACAGAGGTGTTAAACAATCACTAAGCTCTACTATAAAAAACAAAGCTCAAATTTTTCTTAAAACACAAAATTATATGTTTCATAAAATTTTATAATTAATAAATAAGTCGTAGTCCCTAAACTGCATACGTGCCTGGCTGTGAGTGACTCATGTATTTAAGTGACTCGTAAAACACGGAATTCATATAAAACAGAACATATCTATCATGTTATGGGGGGGTCTATTGTATTTGCACTCAACAGTCATTTCATGTTTGATTTTAGATTTGAATAAAAAACCCCCAATGAGCGAGAAAAAGCAACCAAAGCATTTTGCATTTCTTGTTTACTCTCATAATACTTTGCATAACCTCAAATTGATCAATGTCCAAATTTCTCTACAGACCACCATAATTTTCTTGCAAGCCATCAGTGGTCCACTGGTTGGTGACCACTGTTCTAGATCTCTAAATGCAACTATTTTTCATTATAGCTAAACATAAATGCATTAAATATGTACTTCACAATATTAATATAACCAACTCTTTTTTTCTTTAATTTTAAACAAAATATATTAAAGAAATCCAACAACTAATGTATTTTTTTTTAGCCATGTACATTTAAGACAAAGTTTGATTTTTCTATAATCAGACATTTCTAAGAAAACAATATGAAAGTGTTTATTTTGGCAGTAAGCTATAACATTATAACATACTAAATAATTAGCAAATGTTAAAATTAATTAGAACATAAAAAACAAATAATTTCTAAAATAAAAATTTTTTTTTACTTTTTACCATGGAATTTTTAAACTAGAATAAGTAAATTGTTATATGTTATAATAAAGTACTTATCATTTGCTATTATATGATCAAAATATATAAGAAATCGATCTTAATTATTTCAGACATTATAGATACACACACACAATAAATTACACTGTATGATTTAATGTTAGTTATTTTGATTAAAATATTTTAATCTGTGATATATAATCCAGCAATATTTTTCAATATTGTCAAAGTAAAAATATTTTCAAATAAGCCAAACTCAAATCAACTCATTCCTTTGAAATACCTGTAAATCCCAAAATTATAAAAACAATATTAATTTATGATGAAACAATTAATTTATTCTAATTATTCCATAAAAGTCATTTTAAAATACAGTGAATAAATTTGAAATATATCGTACTTACTTATAAGCATATTTCTTGATTAAATCACGAAACCAAACTTTAATGATATCTGTATCTATCAATAAAGAAGAATGTACAATCTAAATGCTACTTTTTGACATGAATACTTAAATAAACTTGATGATTATCATAATGTGGTATGAATTTTTTATTCCTTCTTGGAGTTTTTCTATTTCCATCCAACATGCGATAACTATTTGTATGTTGTTTGTGATGTCTTCATTGGAGTCATAACAGCAATTCAAAAAGTTCTTTTTTATGGGGCCAAACACATGGAAATCACAAGGCACAAGGTCGACTGTAGGATTGTCCCATACAGTCCATTTGAATTTTTCCAGTAGGGCCTTTGTGATACCTGCTGAACAAGGTGTGGCATTATCATGCAAAGCTTTCTCATTGTACACGTCCCTCAACTGGCATTGAATTTCAGTGGAGTTACACGTTTTTGCCCATAGGAAACGAATTTCTGTACAAACTTCCAACTTGGACACTACATCCAAATGACGCAGCATCTTTCATGACTTATTAACCTTTGTAATCACTTTAACAAATCTGCTATGCCAGAAGCCAGAAGTATTACTAGTGCTGCCACCAGATTTCATCTAGATATCATCTATCAACAAAAAGTTCTTGTCAATTGCAACTTACTTTTTCACGCTCCTCATATAAACCAAATGTATTAAAATGTTGAAGATTTACTTGACAATGTTAGTAGTGATTTTTAATGGTATTTGTATTGTTTGACATATTGTTTTAATGTCTAAACTTGACATTAAACATTATAGAAAAGGGTTTATTTTAATCAATCCACTGCAATAACTTGAAAAATATGCATCCCACAGAAAGTCACTAAACCAAAATTGTTAGACTTCAAGGGAACCGCAAGATGGGCTTTTTGTTTTATCATATATGATACTATAATTGGTGAAAACAAGGTCAACTTCATTTTCTGGGTTTTCAAGACATTATGCCTTATGCCTATCTCTAGGCAAATTACTCAATTTTTAATTAACAACTAGTAGCATATTATAGCCCGATGTAATCTGGCAATTGTTTAGCATTAAGATAACTTTATTGTTTTATTTAAAGCCAATTTATGCCAAGAAGTAATCGGAATTATTTTAAACTTTTATGGTGTATTTCTATGCTAATTTTCCATTATATATTTGTTATATTATATGCAAGAAAAATTAACATAATAAGTTATATTACATTAATTAAAAAAAATATTACATCATTACCTTGACTGCCAAGGACAAATAACACCATCATCAGGTCCACCAATGAGAATCAATTTTTTTAAACGCATAAAATTTTTTTTNCCTTCTTTTCAAGGTTTAGAACCTTCATATAATTTTATTTTTAATGTGTTCATTTTTTTAAATATATAAAACAATTAAAAAATGGATCAAAATACTTAATTCACAAATGACAATCTCAGAATAATACAAACAACAACAAATTTAATCAAAATATAACAGTTGCAATTTAAACCCTGTTAACAAATATTTTTCCAAATAATTTAAAAATTTCATTAATTTAAGAATTATTCTATCACTAGCAGATGAGCCTGGCATTGCTGAAGCAAAAAATAACAGCAAAGATTAAGATTATTAGATTATTTCTTACTTCTAACATTTCCTAAATGTTATCAATCAAATATTATTATTATATTTACAAAGGTTATCTTATGTAAGAGTTTGTCATACTGAGTACCAATCTAACACATTTTAAAAATTCTTTAAATTGTATACCAGTAGAGGAAGAAAGAATTTTTAAAATGAGTTAGATTGGCCATTCAGTGTGATAAACCCTTACGTAAGATAACTTTTGTAGTTATATGAATAAAATACTATAATATAAGAAACATTTACATGAAAACTATATAAAGAGTTTGGTTATTTCAGCCTACCGTTGTCATATTTATTACAATACTTGGATGGTATGAAATGGCACAATTTCGTTGGTCAAGTAGATACCAATTGAAAATACAATATCTTTAATTTTTTAAGATATTTTTTCCTAATGTTATGATAACTTTAAGAAACTGTACCATTCACAGCCAAATATCAAACAGTAATCTGTCAATGAATCAAATTTTGCAGAAAAAAAAACTTAGCACAGTTGAAAAGCACTTAAATCATATTTTGTGCTGTCTGGTAACCTTTTATTATATAATTTTCCTATTTGAATGCCATTATATTGCTGGTCCAATAGAAAGAAGGAACTGTTGCAAAAAGGGGTTGAAGTAATTTGATCAAAAGTAGTCATTGACCTGGCTCCTGGCAGAGATGATGGTCAATGACAACTACTTAATACTGGTTTACAATTAATATTTGAAAAATGATCCATGTTAGACAGATTGTGATTAAAGTTGCTAACCTTAACGTCTGAAAGACTTCCTATAAAAACTTGTTTAAATAAAAAAAAATCTTGTAAAAAATGCTAGAATAATTCCTTTTATGTGATAAAGTATTTAATTTTGGCAACAGATTATATAAACTATATGGGAAATATGTTCTCATAAATATTGCAATTATAGAAAAATTATCATGCAGCAATTTGAAAAAACTGTAGATCTATAAATTCACACTGTCAACCCCTGCCTGTCTATCCTTCCTTAATCTTGAGAAAGGAGTTAGATAGATGAAAGTCATAACTGGATATGAAAAGCTTATGGACAGGAGGCCCAAGTTAACTATATATCAATATGAACTTTTGGATTGAACTGTAAGTCATGTTACTTTGATTCAAAATGTTCCCCTGAATGGAGTTGGATAGATGACTGACATAACTCTATTGCTAACAGGAAAAGTATGATGTACAGGGACAAGACCATGACTAAAAGATTTGAAAACATTGTTGAAAAAAGTTGCAGCCTGGCATTGTGATGATGTCACAATAAGTAATCACTCGTTAAAATTATTTTTGTTTATTTGGTTACACATGAGTGTTCTGCCGAGGGAAATGCATCCCAGGAAGACTTTTATGGGATGCTGGACCTTATTTAGGTGTTACTAAAATGAAGAAAGTCCAGAAAATTCCACATGGCCAGCCGGTTTGCCATATGGAATTTTCTGGACTTTCTTCATTCTCTTCATTCAAACTCTGGTAGTTAGTTTGTCCTGTTGGCCATGCCGGAACCCATGATGAACTAACTACCAGAGTTTGGTGTTTTTATCTGCTTGGCAACTGGAGGGCACTTATTAGAATTAAAAAAGTACCATTCAGAAATGAAAAAATCCAACCTGTTAGATGTGGAAAATTAAATAGTTATATACTTATTATAGACTTTTCACAGGATAATTTTTCTAGTTCTTACCAAAAATAGTAAAGATTTAAGAAAAAACTGTTTTGAAATACTAAATTTAATTCATAAGAGATTCATAAAAGATACTAATTTTAATTCATTTAAAAATAACATAAAGGTCAATTAGGAAGCTAAAATTTATTTAATTCATCTAAAGTCATAAAACAAAATAAAACTGCTAAATAATATAAAAATATTATAATTATTATAAAGAGAGAGAGAGAGAGAGAAATGTAAACATTATGTTTAAATGAATAGATGAAAATAATTTAAACTGTTATAGTAAGTCTATATAAATAAAACACACTTGCATAATTTAGGATAATGCCAAATAAATTTCATAAAGTCAATAAACTCAAAAATTACCATAAACTAGTTATTGAATTGTCATCAAATAATAAATAAGACAGATAAAGATTTATTTCGATAAACTGAAAACAAATGGTTTAAAATACAGTTGAACCAGTCTATCTCAAATCTCATGGGAATAAGAAAAAAAAATTTGATATATAAAGGTTCCTATACAGTAAATAACTTAGTAATAGGTCAATAGGTTTTGGTTGGAGGTATGGTATTTTATTAATACAATAGCAAGTACAGTACACACCTGTATTATATATAAATAAAAATTTTTTGACATACCTTAACAGAAATACTTGTCAATAATTTCTGATCCTTGATTTTTAATAAAAATATAATTATACAGTTGAACCTGTTTATCTTGAATCTCATGAGAACAAGAAAAAATTTGAGATAAACAGATTTAAAAATATAAAGGTTCCTATACAGTAAACAATAATAGGTTAATAGGTTAGATTGGAGGTGTAGTATTTTATTAATACAATAGCNATAAACACGGAAGATATATTGAATTTAGGCTGAAAATGCAGAGGAAAAAATACATTTTGAGATAAAGAGGTTTTTGAGATAAACATGTTTGAAACAGACAAGTTCAACTCTATATAGAAATGATATTAAAAAAAGTTCTCTGTTATGTTTTTTGAGTACACATTGAAAAATTATTATGACATTTATTTCTGTTATATTATTACTATATTTTACTTTATATAAACTTGTAAAAGTAGCTGTATTTCTTTTTAATCTTTTTTCTTAAATATTGTATACAATGAATTAAAAACACAAGTATATTATAATTTCAATTAATTTTTTAAATTGTTAATTAGGTTTCTGATTAAATTGTGTTCATAATAATTAATTATTATTAAAAGTTTATAAAACAAGTATTAGAAAACATTTAAAGTTTGAACTGGATTTTCATTCTGTTTTAGACCACTAATATGATTACAAATTAAATTAAAATATTTACAAATTTTAACTAATAAATATTTAACATACTTTTTTAGTCACGTTTTTAACTACATGCTTTTTATATTGTTCATATATTTATAACTTGTTTCACTGTTCATAAGAATTTTGGTGAAATTACAACATGCTTATTACTTATTAAGTGCAATTAAATGGAGACGAGAAATAATATCAGCATGTTTTGAAATGATACTGAACAGAATGGTACTGATGACTAAACAGGTTTAAAAGTTTTTCTATTTTAACATATTTACATTAACATGACTACTAGTTCTATGATTAAAATAAATGAATGTAACACCAAAATTTTCCAATAATCTGTTTACATAAACTTTAAATAATATTAATAAAAATTATGTAGACTTTCTTAAAATAAAACACTAAACAAATATTAAAAAATAAGATATATAACAAAATATACAAAAATAATAATATACCACCATATTGTCCCATCTGTGGTGAACTAAGAGAAATAAATGTATTTACATTATGATTGTCCAATGTTGAAATAATTCCTCTTGCAATTAAACCACCTAGAAAATAAAAAGTTTATAAATATAACAAGAATTTCAGAAATAAAAATTAGAAATACAGTAAATCCCCCTATAACACGGTAAATAATTCCATGTTATATGAATTCCATGTTGTACGAGTCACTTAGATTTTACAAATATGTGAGCCATTCACAGCCCGGCACATGCATTTGTAAAATCTAAGTGACTCGTACAACATGGAATTCATATAACACGGAATTCTCTACCGTGTTATAGGGGGGTCTACGGTACTTCAGTTTAACAAAATTAACAAAAATGAGCTAAATTAACAAATTTTTTAAACAAAGATGCAATCTCTGAATTCTAACTTGTGTCTTTCTTTCTTTTTGTTATCAGTTCATTTAACTTTTTGATGAATACTTGTGAATACTTTGTAAATACATGTGATACATGTGGTGAGTTCTATAGACCAAGCCCATATATATATACACATATTCTTCGTCTCATTGAAGTGTGCTTATTTATTTATGGATAAACATGAAACTTGACAGGTCTATAAAATTTTTTCCACATGGTTTTGTAAGTTTTGTGAGATTTAGCATAGAATTTTATAGCATAAAGACAAACATGACAAGCAATCACCATTCACACTTGCTGTCTCCTACTGAATTTTTGGAGTTATTCAACACAATCAAATCAGAAGAAAATAATATTAAGTTAATTAAAAAGTATGAATTGACAAGATATATTTTTTGTAAATGTTACATTTTTAAATAAAAGCAGAATAAATTTAATTACAAAATGAAAACCAATTTCATTCATTTACATAACTGAAATTTAACCTGTAAATTACTGAAATTTCTTTATTTACACTAATAACATTACAATAGAGTCCCAGAAACTCAACTCTCAATAACTCAACATTCCATAAAACTTGTCGTGTTATTAAAAAACAAAAGATGATAATAATAGTTTTACTATGCTCCACTGGAGAATAACATTACATCTTAACCTCCATAACACACACATAAAAACAATATAATACATCAGGTGAAGAATTTTTCAAGGAGATTACTTGAGTCTTTGGTTCTGTCTTGTACTTAACCCTTTATCTAATACACTGAACAGATCACAATATGGCTACAATATCAGACACAACAAAACAACACTGTTTACATTATCACACCTCATCTAAGTACATGGATGATATCAAACTTTATGCATCCATACAGAATCAGCTGCATCATCTCTTACAAACTATACACATGTATTCAAATGACATACAAATGGAGTTTGGTCTAGATAAATGCAAAACACTACACATTGAAAAAGAAATTCTGATGAAAGGAGACTCTGTACTCACAAGTGGAGATACTATTGAATCCATGGAAGAAGAGTTTTACAAATATTTAAGATTCCAATAGGCCGAACTTACAGAACATGCACAGATAAAACAAAGATTAATACTCAAATACCAGAACAGATTACATGCAATATTGAGAATATGCCTAAATGCAAAATATACTATTAAAGCTATTAATACATATGTTGTCCTTATACTCACTTACTCTTTTGGAGTTACACACTAGACAGGCAGAGATCTCAAGCAACTCCAAAAGAAAACAAAAACAACACTAAGCGTAATCAGTATCAACCAAAATCATCTGAAGACAGACTAACTTCCTCATAAAGAAGATGGACATAGCCTGACTAATATAGTTAATCTTCACTACAAACAAATTCTGACACCGCAGAAGATTTTCCACAAAAACAAGAAACATCAAGATTACATAAAGCTATAACTCTAAAGGTATATGGTTATTGTCTACCAGAGTTACACTCTGAGTACCTGGACATAGCTCAACACATAAATAAGAGACACCGTTAAGCAGTCATGGGCCCAAAAAAGGCAGTTCATGGCAAGCATGCCTATGATCTAGCTCGGGACAATGTTGACAAAACTGCATCAAACTACTGGCTAACTAGGGGCTGTCTGTCTGGAGAGCCAGAGGGGTTTATGGTTGCCATGCAAGCTCTTAGCACAAACAGATTATTTGCATGAGCATAATCAAATAGCAAATATAATAAATACACCAAGAGCTTGCACACAAACAACAGATTATTAAAAACCCAGGTACCATACTACAAATATACTCCACAAGCAGTATTAAAAAATAACACACACAGAATATAGCACAACAGAGTTATAATCACAAATAAAACAATTCATCACAATAGACCTGACATCATTCTTTGACAAATACAGTAAGATTGCTGATATAATAGACATCTCTGTTCCAAACACTCATAACATAAAAATGCTTACACTGAAAAAATCAACAAGTACACTCCGCTTGCTCAAGAAGTAAGATATTTATAGAGGATGGATAAGGTATTTATTGTACTGGTTGTCCTCTCTTCTGCTGGTGTTGTACCACATACACTACACAAAGTCTAGAAACATTAAATCTTAATAAAAACATATATATATGGCACTACAGAAAGCTGCAATGTTGACACATATATCAATAACACAGAAGCTTAATGTAATACTTGTTTGGGTAGCTATGCCTTGAATTTAGTCTGACATAGTACTTGGCACCAATATCAGCTGAGCATGACATTCACAACTTAATAATACAAACTCTAATTTTTACCACTATAACTTAACACTAGGATCAAATAAGTTATTGCTCTTCACTAGGAACATTTCATAATAGCATCAATTCCACATGTAACAAAGAATATAACCCATTTTCCAAGGTTCCACTGCAAAGCACTATGATAGATGTCAATAACTCAAAAGTCACTGAATAGCAAATATGTTTTTAAATTAAAATTTAACTACAAATAGAAATAGTCACTATTGGTATGTTGTTAATACATACATGAATTTATACATATAATACCTTTGCAAAAATTCCACTATTTAGACTAGCATCATCACTATGTTTAAAACTCATCACCTTCTCAGTCCACATTAAGTTGAATTTGTACTTAAGTTGTGTAATTCAACACAGAAAATTTAGATTAGTTTTGAAAACATCACACTTCATTCTATAAATAATAATAATAATATAAAGATTTAATATATTTGGAATTATTATATTTTAATTTGACAATTCTTTATTCACTTAAAAAATGCAAGAACTTCATTAGTTCTTATAAACTATTATTTATATAAAACAATTACATTACATTACATTTTTCTTTCTGTATTAAACCTCATGTTTTCAAAAATATCATCATAAAAATGTATATATGTATCTTGAATTATAATAAAAATTTTGAATTTATTAAAAATGAAAGGTTTTTTTGTAAATTGCTTAAATAAGAATTGTTTCTTGTTTCATAAGAAACAAATTTTTAATAGAAAGTAGATGTAAATAAAATATAATTCAGTTTGAATTACACTATAAAATAAAATTTCTACTAGTAATATATTTTGTAAATAAAACAAAGTGCTGACAAATTATCCAGATAAAATATTTATTGCTCAGAATTTTGCGGTGTTAGTTGGTACTCCAATATAACTTAAAAATTCATATTTAGATATTTATTGGAACCTATGGTAATTATAGGATGCATTTTAGCATAAAGTCCTCATCAACAGCTTTTGGCAACTAAAAGACAGATGTTAATGAAGGTGCTTGGCAATTCATATATTTTAAATTTCTGTAAATATTTCTAACAAGTTTTATATAAGAAGCAAAAAAGATTAAAACACTTAAAATAGCATGCATGAGATTTGTCTAAAATACTGTATTATTATAACCTATTTTGTTTTGAATAAAACAAAATTGTTTGTTTTCTTTGTTTTGAATAAAATTAATTCTTATCTGGGAGAAAAGTGACAAACATACAATAATATATATATTATTGTATGTTCACTGTATGTAAATAAAAACAGTTTAGATTTAAAACACAAGAAAATGGAACGTTTTCTTGCATTCTAAATCATTCAATTGAAAGTTCATAAACTAAAGGATGGTCATAAAATATGACTAAAAATGTTACTTATTAAAAGTTTTTGCTGCTCTAAACAGTTGAAAGTGACTTGAGATAGCATAAACATAAATTCCATACTTAAGTGCAAATCATTCCATCAAGCTATTGTAGATACATTTAAATCAATTTCTAAATATTTTGTTAAACTATTCAGAATAACTTGTTTCTCAACATATAATTATGTTATATTAATACAATTCCAGATTTTGACAAAAGTTTTTGTTAAAGATTAGATAATGATGTTTTGGATCACTGAATCAGCTATTTATTTATTATTCAGATTTAATACTGTGCCATATTTACATCTACATTACGACTTAAAAGTATGAATGCTTTGAAATGACTTAAAATTTTCAATCTTCAAACTGTTTTGAGAAATGAAATGTACTGAATGTATATTTAAGACTAAACTTCCAATCTTTGGAATTTTTCAAGTTCAGCTCACATTTTGAAAACATTAAAAAATCCAAATTATCTAATCTTTAGAGATTTTATTTAATATATATCCCCCTGAAGATGAGCTGAAAAGCTTAAAAACACTGATGGAAATTTACAGAATGGTTACAATCACTCACAATAAACAAGTCATGGCTTTAGCCTGTTATGCCACAGAACGCAGGGTGATAGCAAATCTAGGAGAAGCTAAATTAATTTAAAGTCTTTAATGAAAAACATATGAAGAGAACAGAAATCCTGGAAATTTATCCACAAATTTCCAGAATGTGTTTTTGAATTCTGCCACACAAGGGTATATGTCTTGGCAGCCATTAAGATACTGACAGAAAGTAATAAGGGCCACACACAGTGATATAACCTGTTTAGAGAAATTGAAAGAAGATATAAAGAATGAAGAAGCTAGGGGGAAGGGGAAATAAAATGAGATAGGAAAGAGGGAAAGGGAGTAACTGTAGGACCCATGGGGCATCAGCAACATATTTACTAAAAATGTAGACAAAGTACAAGGTTACAAAAATAAAATAGTATAAGGTTATTATAAAATATGTACAATGACATTACCATGAGGAATTTAC